ACTATCAACTCTGCATTCGATAGTTCAAACCACTGTTTATGCCCACAGGCGACTCCCCCACCTTCTCTCTCTGGATGCCTCTTTACCTCCTTGTAGACCGCTGTCCTTCCTTTCATCCAAGTCCATACTTGTCAACCCTCTAGTTGACAAATTAGCTTCATCTTCCCTCCCTTGCCCCTCACCCCCTATTTTTATTTGTTTGTTTTAATCATTACAGGAGAAGACAGCTTCAACTTTCTCCTGCAGAATGGCTTGTTTAAATCCCTGCCCTGTCAGCTGGACCCTACTGCTTAACCCACTGTGCCACCACATCTCCTTGCATAGCAGTGAAAAACGAACACTGCCACAGTGTCCCTTCTTCCGCGTAGGGACCCTACAGGTAGAAGTGCTCCTGTGGGTGTCTGAGACTGTAACTCTTTACAGCAGTGCAGTCTTGTCTTTCTTCCTTAGGTCAGCAACAGGAGGTTATATTGATCATCTTGCTTCTTCAATCACCAGAAATTTCCACGTGATAGCAGTAGAATGAATTCTAGTTCCCAAAGAGTCTGAAAACATTCTGTTTGCATTCCTATCAAACAAGGCTCCCTGAACTTCTGGTATAATCTGCTGGTCCAAAAGATACAGTTGACTTTTTAAAAATTGTAACAGTTTTCCTGGCACATCATACACATGTCATGCAATTCAATAATCCAATCATATCAAGAAGAGTTGCACAATCATCAACACAATCAATTTAGAACATTTTCTTCTTCTTTGTACTCACTGTTATTCATGTAATTATTTTTTTAATTTTAGCAAACATGTACACAACAGAACATGCTCCAATTCAACAACATCAACATGTATAATTCAGTGCCATTTATTATACTCTTTGTGTTGTACAACCATTATTGAGATCTTTTTCAAAATTAATCCACCAACATTAACATAAACTCAATGACTCATAAACAAAAACTCTTCCTCCATGACCCATGGTAAATACTGGTCAAGTTTTGTTGCTTCTTCTTCTTCATTGTTAATTTCCTTGATATAATGTCCACATATCATACATTTCCATAGTTAAATCTCCTTTTAAAAGAGCTGTATAGGGGGGTAGTAGGGGCAAAAATGAGGAACTGATACCAAGGGTTCAAGCAAATGTTTTGAGAATGATGAGGGTAACAAATATCCAAATGTGCTTTACACAATGGATGCATGTATGGATTGTGATAAGAGTTGTATGAGCCCCCAATCAAATGATTTAAAAAATTAAAATTAAAAAATAAAATGAGCTGTATGTACATCATCACAATCATTTCTAATGCTCCTTCCTTCCTTCTCCCACATTTATTGTTTGCTCCCTTAATCCCCCCAGCCTCCCCCGCCCCATGTCCTTGATAAAGCCTTGCATCAGGTCTTGTCTCTATTTATCCACTCCTTCTGTGCTTCACAAATTGGGATACCCAACAGAAACAATAAAAAACAAAACCAACATAAAATAGTAATAATATAAAAATAAAAATAAAGTGTTAGAAAGAAAAGACCACTATCAATATTTTAAAAGCCAGAGAAGACATTTCTGTCATGGAATAAGGGAAAAATATTGGCGCCTAGAGCAAATTGAGGTTGAGTCAAGAGGGAGGTCAACTGGCCAAATATCATATTTTACCATGGTTTGCTCACCATCGTCAAGGTTACAATGCTCTGTCTGACCGTGAAGATGTCAGACTCCCTTGACTGTGGCTAGAGCGGCCCTGCCAGAGGCTTCATCTGATTAGATACCCTGCAGGTGGGTGTTGGTCTCCCACTGTCCTCCATTGCCTTCTATAAATTGGGCATTCACACTTTAAGCTCTTTTCTCTTTATCATATTTGAATTTTGTTATCATCATCTTTGGATCACACAGGCTTGTGTGTACCTTCAATGTGGACTTAGTTGACATCTCACGTAGATGGCTACTTGTTTGAATACAAGCCTTTAAGACCACAGACAATATTCCAATTGATAGGCGAGCACCTCTGCTAGCTTCACCACACTTTGTGTACATTGACCTTCAAGGTGTTGCAAAACTTCATTTTAGGGTCCTCACCCTAAAATAAATGGCAACATCACCAACTATTATAGATGACAACATCACCAATGATTTCCTCAACAAAGTGAACATCCTGATCAATTTGCACATAAAACTTTGGCGGGAAGGGGGGTTAAGTATAGCTTACTGTTAATTCATAGCTGTGGAGTTGATTCTGACTTAATAGAACTACTCTATTATTTCTGAGACTGTAAATTGTTAAGGATTCATACAATCTCATCTTTCCCCTGTATTTGAACTCTTGACCCTTCTGTTAACAACGCTATGCTTAATCCACTATGCTATCAGGGTTCTTTGCTTTTGGAATA